TAATTTGTTTGAATTAGACCCCCTTGCGGAGTTTGTGGACCAGAACTTGAAAAACCCTGGATTAGTAAATGTTTTGGACCAATTAAGGTGCTTTAAAAAAAATAAAAAATAAAATAAGGACTAAGAGAATTCTTAATGGGACTAAGTAACCAGAACTATTTAGTCGAATCAGACCTGGAAATTCCTTTCACGTCCCATCACTAGAGCTTGCTGAGAATTCTCTGAAAGAAAAGCAGAAAGATTGAAACCAATGCAAACACTGCTTTCAGCAGACTTGCTCGTGCCGTTGCCTTCTCTGAGACTGATGGAGGAATGGATGGTGTGTGTGTGTGTGTGCGCGTGTGTGTGTGTGTGTGTATATGAAAGAGCAAGGTGGCATGCAGCGCTTGTTTTCTCAGGGGAGTACAAACTAACCTCAGATGTTAGTCAAGTAGTAAAAAAAATGCTGCAGTGAATTATGACACCTCAGGTGTGAAAAATTGAGCACTTCACTGGGTGATGATAACACCACTTCCTGTCTCACACTGGGAACGTGAACCAGTAAGGCAGGAGGAGTACAGATCAAAGCGTTTGAGAGGCACGTCCATTAACTGATCTTCACAGTCCAGCTTCAGCCTCTGCAAGTGTTTTTACGACTTGGAGTAATTGCTCACATCAGTTGTGACGTACCGTCTATGGAATTGATAACAGTGATTTTCTCCTTTTTTTGTTTAATTTAAGACCGAACAGCTCAAAACCGGTGTCAGAAACAGGCCTTGGGGAAAGGAAGAGGATCTGTCTGTGATCAAGGAGAAGAGTGATAAAAAGAACAGGAAAAGGGGGAAAAAAGAAAGACTGAAGCAGGGTCAGAGGGGCTGGAACAGATGCCTCTTCAGATGAGGGAAGGCACGTGGAAATAAGCAAAGAATGAAGCTGAACGCTGTATACTTGCCTCTTTGAGCTACAAGAGAGCGGGATGAGAGAGAAAGAAAAACAGAAATAGGTAAATGCAATGCACCAAAAATAAATATCAGCAAAAATGAACAAAAAAAAAAAGAACGGCTATGCCTGTTCAGAAAAACAAAAAAGTGGTGCTCTAAATGGCTGAAAATGTGTATATAACCATATAAAAGAATAAGAGAATATGGGAATATTATGTTAAAATGCCTGCAGAAAATAATAAAATCTGCATAAAAATAATGAAAATGAAATCTAAAAGTACACAGTACTGACTGTACCATGGTACAGTACAGTACATATGATGGTAACACCTTGATACTTAAAAACCATGGTACTGAATAATTACTCATTTACCAATTATTGGTATTTCAAGATGTTTCAAAGGATATAAGGGTATTGTCTAAATAAATGGCTCAAGATAATCTACAATACCTGGAGAAGGCTTAAATTTTTTTTTTTTTTTTATAAAATACAGTTAAGTTAACTGTGTATCTTTTTAAACAAAATATAAGTAAAACAAAAGAATAAAA